TGGAGAAGCCAGGTTCTCCTATTAGAATCACCTGGAGGAAATTGAAGAGTCATGACTTATGCCCAGTCCACGCACCCACACTGGTTCAGGGGGCGTGGCCTGTAGCCTCAGCAGCTAAGCCTTTTATTTTTATTTATTTATTTATTTTTTTAATAGAGGCATGCTTTATTTATTTGTTTGCTGGTTTGTTTGTTTTGTTTATACATGCACTGGGTACAGTCAGAAGCACGGGAGGGTGAGAGAATCCACCAGAGCCAGAGCAGGGAGCAGAGCAGGCAGAAGGACCGAAGTACACTGCTGAGGGGAGCAGCGGGCGGCAGGAGAGGTCTGCGCGCCATGTGGGACCCTCCTCCGGTGGCCGGGGAGCAGCCGGGGATCGAACCGGCGCCGCAGAGGCCGCAGGCAGCTTCGCAGCTCAACCGCTCAACCGCTCAACCGCTGCGCCACCGGGGAGGCCCAGCTAAGCCTTTTAATAGCCAAGCGTTTAACAGGTGATTCCTATTCCAGGACTTATATTTTCTTTTTTTGAGGACCAACCATCTTGCTGCTTAAAAGTTGCCTGTGGGCAAACTTCCACCTTCACTTTAGAGTTGCTGGCTCCCTGCATCTCACATTTTCCAGTGGAAGTCTCCACTCTCCACTGCTCTTGCTTCTTAGGGCCAAGGCATCATTCAAACAACACCAAACACCCCAGGACCGCTGCTGAGATCCCAGCTTTGGGGCCGGAGGACCCACATTTAGGTGGAGGCTTGGGGCTTAGAGTGGGTCACGAATTCCTTGAGCAGCGGTGGTAGATATGAGCGATCCTACACGACCTAAGAATACCAAGCCACCAGAAGGCCATTTCTAGGCCCCAAAGAAACTTCCCCAGACCGCCTTTTCCAGAAAACCGGGCCAGACAACCCCATGGAGTTGGGTAGAGGGCCAGGGCCTCTGTGTGGGGCCTTCTGTTCCAGAGAAGACAGGTAGAGGGGGGTGAAAGGAGTGGGCAGGACAAGCACACACCACTCGGTTCAAGTTCAGCTCCCCCATTAGACTGTGTAGCTGGGCAAGTGACCTACCTGCAGTTCCCGTGTTTGTAAACGGAGCGGCTCCTGACCCACAGGGCTGCAGCGAAGCCAGTCACTGAGTGAAACTGAGCATGCCCTAGCGCTGCTCACGGTGTGCTTTCATCCTCGCAGAGGCTGCCCAGGTGCCTTTTATATCCAAAAGGCGGTCTCCTCAGGTGCTTCTTATAAGTCTCTCTGGTTCTTACATGTCCATGGAGTTTTCCTGGGTCCCTGTCATCCCCACAAGGAGGCCTCCAGGTCCCTGTCACCTCTTCTTGGAGGACCCCGACCAGTTGTCCTCTGAGAAAACGATTCTGGGGGGGGGGGCAGCCACGTCACTTCATTTCCTCATGACTTCAAATGTAGAGCGTGTGATCATGACCCCTGCTCATTTTCCGACACCAGGCCACTCACAGTAAATGTCTTGAGCAAGAGAGGAACCCGTGGTGGAGCCTGGCTGCTGACTGTTGGGTTAGGCCCAAGCAGCCCACGGGAGAGGGCGCCTGTGTGGGCGACAAGGAGTGACCCTCTCCCTCTCCCTGAAGGAGTGGGCCTAGGGGTTTCTGGGGAGTGCCAGGGGCCAGTCCAGTGTCCTTCCAGTGTGCTTTCTGCTGCTACTGCCAAGCGCTCACAGGGCATTCAGGCACAAACTCCACTCCTTGGTCACTACCCCCCAAGGGCCCATGCCCCGCTCACAGACAAGGCACAGGCCTAAGAAGGAAGGGTTTACTTAAGGGTAAGCACAAATCCCAACTCACTGCCCCTCGCCCCTAGCCACAGCACACGGGGGTATTGTGGGGGGTTTCCCACAGGTAAAGGCTTGATCCCTGGAAAGAAACTTTAAAGGCCGCAGGGAGGGCTGGAGGCAGGGAAGGGGGAGGACCCCAACTGAGCAGACAGCTGCCCACGTATCCAGGGTAGCGTCAGTGGGTCAGCCCAGGTGATGCCAGTTTGGCACATGGGCTGAGACTTGGGGGAAGACGAGTATGTTCAGATCTCAGCCGTCCCCCTTTCCAGCTGTGCGAGTCTGTTACCCGCCGCCACCACCCCTGAAGCCTCAGCTTCCCCCTCAGCAGTTTATTTATCCAATCCACTGCTTATTCATCTAATATACGAAGCACTAGGCACTGCAAATATGACAGAGGACAAAGAACCACTTGGATCTGAGACACTAAGATAGAGAGAAGTTAAGTGGAGGTTACCACTAGGAAAAGGAAAGTTCCTGAATAAATAGGGCCCCTGACAGACATAGCTACCCACCTCCACTTCCTGTGACTGCCAAAAGCCTCCCAACTGCCCTGTTTGAGGGCTGAGGGGGCTCTCACAGATGAAGATTTCCCAGAAAGCCGGCTCTGCAGTCTAAAGGGGTGTTCCAGCTGTGTTACCAGGCTATACCTCCAAGCCTCCAGAAACACTCTAAAATCTTCCCAGAGGACCCAGGAGACCTACGCAGAGGAGAAGGTCACCCCATGGACACGGAGGTGGAGCATTTAGTTTTAGATTTGACAGAGCAGCCAGCAGAGGGAGACCAGGCCAAGGACATGCAGAGCCCACAGCCCCGCATCTGACCCTGCAGCCACAGGGGTCACTGGAGGACCCCTTAGTGGTGCTGCTCCTGCCTCTGGCCACTTACAAACAAATGCTCCTCTTGGAGCAACTGTGATGTCTGTCTAGCCTCACTCTGGCGATCCTTAGGTCTCGGTGTGAAAGTCATTTCCCCAGGCTTTTGTCAGATGCCCGAGACATGGGCGCAGCAAACTCTATGCCCCCATGTAGCTTCCATCCCATTAGCACTGAGAGTGGGGAGAGGGAAAAGCCGTGTCATTGCCCCATTAATGTCCCCTAGCCAGCCCAGTAGCGGCACCACACAACCCCGGGACTATCTGTTCACTGCTGTCCCCAGGGGCCAGTTCGTTGCCTGACAGTACAGGGCGTGTGTGGGTCCCAGCCGTCCCTCATCATCGCCTCTGTGATGACAACTGGACAGGATCATGACCTCTTAGCTGGTGAACAGCTGCCATTTCTGAGCACCTACTGTACTCCCAGCACTGTGGTAGGTGCTCTAGGGCCCATGGTTTGTCTCAAGGAATCCACCATGCAAGCGGGAGGTAACACCAACTGACATGGGGGTGGTTAGGAAGGAGCTGGGCACCGAAGTTTAATTTACCACATTACCTACAATATGTAGAACATGTTGCAACTCAATAAAAACATAAATAACCCAGTTTAAGGCTGGCAAAGATCTGAATGGGTATTTTCTCCAAAATGGGGATATGTTCTCTGGCTCATATCCTCTAGTGATCCTCTAATTGCTCATTCATTCATCATCCAACAAAAATTTAGGCCCTCCCCCTGGTGCAGGTGGAGTAGGAACCTAGCCAGGCCCCTACCCTCCTGGAGCTTCCAGTTCAAGAGCAGAAGATAAGAAGACAGCTACAGAAGCAAGTAATTACAGTGCACTGGCGCATTTGCACTAATGGGAGCCCAGAGGCACTCTACACAGCAGAAAAGGGGTACCCAAAGCTAGCAAACCCACAGCACCCCACACCATCCTCACTAAAGTGCATTTCAACTATTACTTTTATTTCCCCTCCCCCCCACAGCTACACCCAAGCAACCAGGACTTTAAACTGAATAGTAAGTAACTGTTGAGTAGGATGGTGGGGATGGGTGTGGGGGTTTTGGCGGTGGGGAAGTGGGGTGGGTGAGAGAGATGAGCACAAACAGATTATGCACAAAAGTTGGCGAGACATTTGTAGGGTAAGGTAAAAGTATCAGGCTTTTCTGCCCTCCCGCCATTAGGACAGATGAGGGAACCCTGAGGTCCTGAATGCATGCCTGATGGCGGGCACCTGGAGTGGGGACACCTGGGCTGAGAGACTGAGTTTATAAGGGCGGCATCACGGGGACGCCAGCAGAAGCCAAAGAAGAAGAGAAGCAGAGAGAACACCAGAGAGAGCCCAGAGAGACTGAGGATTTGCTGGGGGCTGGGAGGACTGCCGGCCTCCTGGCCCCCCAGCACCCCTGCCTGCCATACGTCTGGTAAATCTAAATAAAAGACCTGCAAAAGCCACTGAGGACTCTGACTCCTTTACCCGGTCTGCTGGATCAGAAAACCTGCCCTGTGTCATTCCTGACCCTACAGTCCTCAGGTGGGCACTGGGGGAGCAGTTCACAGTTCCTTGCCATTGCTTCTAAAATCAGCCTCCAAGAAAGCCTGTAGAGGTGTGTGAGACCTGCCTACCAGTACCACCTGGTACTCCTGGGAGGACCCTCCTGGCCTCCATTAGTACCTGAAAGTCTCCCCCATTTCACAAAGTACATGGTAGGGGTGGTTGTGACAATGATATGTGAGATTATTGGCCTTCACTGAGAGGGAGGCAGGCTTACTAAAGGCATTGCCCTCAGAAACATTACCCTAGATTTGCTGCGTAACTTTCAAGCCACATTTTGGAACGTCCCACCAGAATTTAGGTAGCTAAAACCTGTTTCCCATTATATTCTGAATCTTGAACCCGTTTTGCTTTACATATTAACACGATTAATGGGGTGTGTGTGTGTGGGGGGGAGCTGCAATACATATTGAATTTTTCCAGAGTGCGTGTAAATAGAGCAAAGATTGAACTTTTATTGTTAACTTTACTAAGACCATTTAAAAAATCCTATTACCAATAACTACATTTGTAGCTTCATGGTCTTTCAGCGTTTGTGTACACCAGCATTTTCATACCGAAATACCTACTATTTGACAAAACTATTTCTACTTTATATGGCCGTCAGCTGTGCTTGTGCGCACTGTAGGGGGCGGGTTTCCCTGGGGAGACAGGGGCCCTGATAGAATATTCATTATGCAAAGGAGCGTGCCCGCCGGATAGGCCCCGCCCCACGTCGCGGGCCCCGCCCCCAGCGCGCCGACCGCCTCCGCCACACTCAACATGGCGGCGACGCAGGCCCGCCGAGGCGCCTGAGCAGGTCGCCAGTGGAGGGTTTCCACTCCAGTCATGGCGGCCCCCCGACCCGCGTCGGGCGGCGGGGCTCTGAAGACGTGCGACCTGGAGCGGATTTTGGAGGCGCTGAAGCTGCTGCTGAGCCCAGCAGGTGAGAGGACACATGTCGACCGTCAGTTTTCCAGGGCCGCCCTGCCTCCCAGTGTGCTCCCGCCGGGCAGTCCCCGGGACCCTCGGGCCCCGAGTCTCGTTCCGGGGGGCTCTGGGCATTGTCCGCCTGTCCACACGTTACGGTTGAGGAAACCGAGGCTCAAGGACAGGAATGGGGTCCGCTGAACACTTATACTAACCAGCGTCTCCTGAGCGCTTACCTCGTGCCTGGCACTGTTAAACGCCGTGGGTAACGTGACTTCACTCAGCCCTGACTGCAGCCCTGTGAGGTGGGCGCTGCGGGACCGCTTCTGAGAGGGTCGGCGCTGGTGTGACGTAGAAAGCGAGCGCCCAACCCTAAGGCGCGCGGTCTGAGGTGGACGCTGGAGATTGTGCGACATGCCAGGGAGTCCAGCAGAAAAGGCTGCAGTGGGTTAGGTAGATGACTATTTACTGCATTAGAAACGAAGGCTTTAAGAGAAACTTTTAAAATGAAAACTTTTAGGGCCTCCCCGGTGGCGCAGCGGTTGAGCGCTGGGTTGCGAAGCTGCCCGCGGCCTCTGCGGCGCCGGTTCGATCCCCGGCTGCTTCCCGGCCACCGGAGGAGGGTCCCGCATGGCGCGCAGACCTCTCCTGCCGCCCGCTGCTCCCCTCAGCAGTGTGCTTCGGTCCTTCTGCCTGCTCTGCTCCCCGCTCTGGCTCTGGTGAATTCTCTCACCCTCCCGCGCTTCTGACTGTACCCAGTGCATGTATAAAACAAACAAACAAACAAACAAATAAAGAAAGAAAGAAAGAAAACATGCCTCTATAAAAAAAAAAAAAAATAAAATAAAATGAAAACTTTTAAAATGAAACCCATGAAATGTTAATGCCATTTTTAATGAAAAATAACGTTTTGCAAATTAAGTTAATGGGAAGAACGGCTTTGTTTTACGTTTTTGCAAATTTTAATGTCTGGTTAATGAGAAGACCGCTGAATTTTCATATTTCTTTGTTCATCATGACATGATAGGAGAAGAAAATCTAGACTTACATATATATGTAGTTGGAAAAGGGAGATTTCAGTTGCCTTTTTCGGATAATTGTCTATGGTCTTAGACTCTACTAAAACTCAACAACAGGTACTTTCTGAAAGATTAATTGTAATATGGAATCTGAACTCAACAAACTTTTCATTCTTGGTCCACTCATGGGAGAACGAGAGCAGAAAGGCAAATAATGCCTTAGTATTAATATGAAAATAGATTTGATCTTGCAAACTCCCCGAGAGAAACTTGGGAAACTCTTCAAAACTTGAGTTTCTGTACCACACTTTGAGAACAGCTTCTTTAGGGAATGCTTTTATTTATTCTCAAGTAGATTCTATTTTTATTACCAATAGGGGGCAGAGAAGACTATATTATTGAGGCGCTTGAAAAACTTAATATTAGCTTAATAGCTTTTGTAAATCACTTAGTGGCCCACGTTTGGGTTCAAAGATCTTATAAATATGCAGGAAGTCACTTAGAGATTGTTTAGCTATGGTAAGAGTGGCAGCACTAACCATTGGAGTGCACTCATTTTCTTTTTAGGTATATATTAGCCAAAACCACTAGAAATTCATGTCTGTGGGTCAGGACATCTACCCTGGACAGACCTCCAGAAGTACTGGACAGTTCTTTCTCCTCATTCTCATTATTTTTAAAGATTAGAAAAAAAATGACATTATTGTCCCTATTTCTTTTTATAGAAGGGGTTAATATTCCCTATGGTAACACTTTAAAAAAATAGAGAAACTAAAAGAAGAAATTTAAAATGGCCATCTTACCACCTAGAGAGTACATTTTGGGAAGTATTTGTCTGCGGAAGTGGTCTGATATACTACATACTGCTTCATTACCTTAAATAACTTTATTAGTATAAAAACAATACAGTCACTGTAGGAAAAAAAATAAGATGTAAGACTATAATTTTCTTCTTTATTAAAGATTTACTTATTTATGCATACAAGAACTGGGGTACAGGCCTGAGGTGGGGGTGGTGAGAGGATTCACCAGAGACAGAGGGGGGAATTGAAATACACTGCTGAGGGGAGCAGCGGGCAAGACAGGAGAGGTCTGCTGTGCCATGTGGGTTAGCTCGCTGGCCGGGGATTGAACTCATGCTTCAGTGTTTGCAGAGAGCGTCGTAGTGCTGAGACTTAACCCCTTGCACCACCAGGGAGGCCTCAAATAAGCCTATAATTAAGCACAAAAGAAAAATCACCCATGACCGTACGACCCAGAGAAGATCACTGTTTATATTTCGGAGTATAAGTTTTGAGAACCTTTTCTATCTTTATGTATACATACATACACATATGTACATAGACATGTCTTTATTTTAATATGTAGTTATAGTTAGGTTCACACCGTTCCTATATTGATCAATTTTCACAGTAATAAATTAATACTTAGTAATCTCCAAAGGTAACCAATGAAGTAATTTTTTTGTTTTATTATAAACTAATAAATTTTTTGTATATGTGATACTGTTCATTATTCTTTTTTTTTTTTAAGATTTATTTATTTGTTCATACAAGAGCTGGGATACAGGCCAGAGATGCCAGGGGCGGGGGGAGGGGGGGGGTTGGTGAGAGGATTCACCAGAGACAGAGTAGGGAACAGAACAGGCAGACTGACTGAAATACACTGCTGAGGGGAGCAGCGGGCAAGACAGGAGAGGTCTGCGTCATGTGGGTTTCTCCCTGGCCGGGGATCAAACTTGTGCTGCAGAGGCTGCAGATTGCTTCATAGTGCAGTGCTTAACCCGTTGTGCCACCAGGGAGTCCCTATTTATATATATATATTTTTTGGAGAACAGTCCATGTTGTTGGAGTGACTGCTCCAATTTACTTCCTGCCAACAGTGCGCAAGAGTTCCCTCTTCACACCCTTGCCAGCACTATTCCCTGTCTTTTTGATGATAGACATTCTCACAGGTATGGGGTGATCTCTTCTTGTAGTTTTGATTTACATTTCCTTAATGATAAATAAGGATGAACATATTTTCATGTGCCTTTTGGCCATTTGTATATCTTCTTCGGAGAAGTGAGAGATATGTCATTTGCAAATATCTATATAGATGGTTTTTAAATACATGGCTTGGGTCAGATCATCATGGAAGAATGTTAGGGACTAGCCCTGGAGTGTTCAGATATCTGCTAGCAGAGGAGACAGTGACTGAATGTCCACTGAATATCAGCAGCAGGGATACCAGAGAAGAGTGGTACCCCAGTGGCCAAAAGAAGAGTTTCAAAGAGGGAGCCGTTAACTATCCATTGCTGCTAAGAGTGAATATGGGCTTTTTCATCAGTAGAGGGCAGAAAAGACCAATTTAGGAAAGGTCAGGAAAAATGAGAATAGAAATGATTGCACTAACAGTTTTGAATATATGTCTATATGTTGTCATCTGCTTTATTGGAATGTAAATAACATGAGGGAAGGGACTTTAATTGGTTCAGTGCTTTATCTCTGGCACTTAGAACCGTTTAAATGAATCTCGTGTGGTAAATGTTCGGCTTTTGACATTTCTGTTGTGGTTAAATTTTAAACCCAGTCAGATAATATGGGCGCTGTTCTCAAAGCACTTGCACAGAACCAAGCTAGCAGAAGTATAACATGTTAGGTGCATATTCTGACTATGTCCAGACTGTTGTGGGAAGGTGGGTGACATGGTCTTGAATTCTGCCAAGGCATCTGAGCCAGGCCTCAGAGGATCAACTGGAGCGCGGAAGGCCTTCCTGCAGAGGCAGGTGCATTTTGTTTTCCTTGTACATGATCTTTTTGTTGATGTTTTCTTCAAAAGGATCAGACTCCAGTTCACTGCAGATCACAAAACATGATGTCCTGTTGGCTACTTTGAAATCTAACCTGTCTGCTTTGGAGGACAAGTTCCTGAAGGATCCTCACTGGAAGACATTGAGACTCCTCAGGGATGAAATTGCCAAAAAGGCAGACTGGCCACAAAACTCTGTGGATGTCACCTGGAGTTTTACCTCCCAGACCTTGCTGTTGCTGTTGTGCTTGAAGGAAACCATGGTCTGCCTTGTAGCAGATTTCAGACCAGTTAGACCCAACCCTCGCACTCCTGAAGCTGCTCCCGCCCTGAGCCCAGATACGCTTAGCATCTCACAGCAGAAGACTGTGCAGTCTGCCTTGCAGTTCGTGGTCACCTTGGGACTCTGCCCCTATCTCATGTCTGGTGTGGGACTCCCCTTGAGATACAGGACCGAATTTGGGGCTGTTGTGCAGGATGTGGTCTGTCTCGACGCTGCCCCTGCTGCCACCCGGAGACTGTACAGCAGCTGCAGGGTCCTCTTAACTGTTGCTCAACACACCTCTCTAGGAAGCTTGATTTTCTGCCGCCATTTGGGAGACATTGTAGCAGGCCTGTGCCAGCTGGGTTTCTGCCCAACTAAGAGAAAACCACTGAAGCCTGAGGAAGAGGTAAAATATTGAGCTTGTGTATGTGAGAAAGCGAAGAGAGAATGTGTTTGTATTTGTGTGTGGTTGTTATAAAAGACAATTCCTAGTTCTTTGGGAAAGTTTGAGAATTTCCATTGAATGCCAAAGCCTAGCTAGTGGATAAATCACTCTTTGAAGGGAGTTAGCCCTTTCATTTGTCCCTTCTTGTCATTGTGTGGAACAGATCCTTAGGCCATTTCTTTGAGCTCCTGTTTCCTCTTTTATAAAATGTGGATAATCACACCTGCCTTGGAAGGTGGTGGTGAGGATTAAAGATAATGTGTGTAAAGTACCTAGCCCAATTCCCAGTAGTGCTCATTAAAAAGTAACTGCTACTAATATTAGCATTAAACTATTCATACCTCTTTCGATAAGTTCTTGGGAGGATTAAATGAGATGAAGTGGGAAAAGCACTGGGAATGCTGCATAACTCAGTGTTCACGATTATTAGGTATTAGGGGCATCGGCCTGTTTTTTGCTGATCCTTAGTAAGGATCTGGGTACTTAGACCCCGAAGGTTCTGTGGAGGTTACAGAAGTATCAGACAGTCCTGTTCTCAAGTAGCTCACACACTAACTGGGGAAACAGTGCTCACAGTTTATCATAGCAGGACATACCAGCACTCCCTGGTGAGAAGTTCAGTCAGTTCTCCTGACGAGAGCTGAGAGAGGGCCGGGAGTATTTCACTATGATAGCCTCCTCCTGATGGAAGGAAATGCAGAGGTGAAAGAAGCCTTCCTCTCTCCCCTCACAAGTTTACACAATCATAAACTTTCCATTGACTGCCTGGTTTGTATTCTGCTAACACCAGTGTTTCTTTTAGGTGTTAACTGAAGAAGAAAGAGCCCTCTCGAAGGAGGCCTTGAGGGACACACTGGATCAAGTGTATCAACCACTAGCAGTGCGAGAATTACTTCTTCTCCAGGGAGGGCCCCCCCAGGTATTCAGGTCCAGAGACTCCTGTGCTGAACCCTGGGTGACATTGTGTGCTATCTGCTCCTGGGAAAGTTGATAACCTGGTTGAATCTTATTTTATCTTTGATCTTTAAGTAGGCAATCTGTGAAACGAAGTTACACTGATCCTTAGGATACCTTTTAATTCATTTTGCTCTTAATGGAATAATGGGCACTTTCCCCGAGAAAACTTGATCACTTTTTTTTAAGGCTTATTATTTGTCATTTTTCTTTAAAATATATCTTATTAATTCTGAAACTGGATTTTTTAAACTAGAATTTGATTCTTTGACATCTTAATCTTTAAGTGGAGTATTTGAAGTCAAAAAATTAAAATTAGTGCTGTTATTGGGACAGTTTTTAGGTCCTCTGAGAAACATAATGTTATATGTTCTTCTAGGCATGAGATAGTTTTTTTCTTACAAAATGATTTATCTGAAATGATTTAACTTGATCATGTGCATTTGCTTTTCGTACCTAAGTTAAAATTGTGAATTTAGTGTGAGGAACCAAAGGAATGGGTTATTTATTGGTAAGGAGGCAGGGGCAACTGAGGCATGCTACCGAGACATTGCCTAGTGGAAATCATTTTCATCTCACTTCTACAATATTGCTGTTGCCTTGACCCCGCTGGCCTCACAATCCCCTCTGAGTAAGTCCTCAGTTTGCCAGAAAAAGCCAAATGCATGGTAAGAGCATGGTGGAAAAGAGACACTCTGGAATTAGGCCCACTGGGATTCAAGCCCCAGTGCAGTTATATGAATTAATTTAATTTTCATCCCTCAGCTTCCTTGTCCATAAAGTGGGAATAATCACAGCACATTCCTTTTAAGTTCCTTTTGAGACTATGTGGCAGGTACTTAGCATCATAACTCCCTCAAAAAATGATAATAATTGATCCCCCTTAAATAAAAGAGGGAGGTCTGATTGGGGTTGAATGTTTCTGTCATGAATATTTATGCTCACACAGTTAGGTGCGGTGATTGACAGAAACATAGTTCACATTCTGAGCCCAAAATAAAGGATACCAAGTCAGCTTTGTTCATAGGCTCTACAAACCTCTCAAAAAGGTCTTTCCGTTTTTGGAGAAAGTCAACTCTTTCTAGAAACTGTGGTGTCACAAGGGATCAGAGTAGATAAGACCATGGAGGCCAGGTCTGCAGTACCCTGTCACTGCATTGAATTGTCCCTCAGTGGTGAGTGGCACCCAGCAGAATCCTCTATGGAAGCTTCATTGGAAGGACTGCATCCAGAGATTAGTTACATGAGCTTTGTCTTTCCAAAATCTGTATTTCCTTCAACTGATGTGTTTGTTTATTTCTGGCTTTGAAATTTCACTCTATTTCTACTTTCTTAAATGATGCTGAAGGCTTTGTTAAGGAGAGTCTTTTTTTTATATAAGGAAAAAATGTTGCTTCTTTGAAGTCATTATTAACATATCATTATATTGATACATATACCTCAGTACATAATTTTAAAAATAATTTTTACAAAATATCAAAATCAACAAACAACTATGAACCAGAGACACTCTATGGGGGGTGGGGAGCGGGGAGGGGAGGGATTGGGGTCAAAATCAGGGGGTTGTAATTGTATGGGGACTATAAAAATAAAATTTAAATAAAAATAATTTCTACAGATCCTATCTATCTCATTAATCTCAAATTCATATCTTTCCCTCCCTTTTCAGTCCTGCACAGATGTGAAGACCCAAGTTAGGTGTCAGGCCCCAGCTTGGCTTCGGCGTCTATGTGGGCAGCTGCTCTCTGAAAGGTTAATGAGACCCAAAGGTGTCCAGGCGGTGGTCCGGGGCATTTTGGAAGGAGCAGGTGGTAAGAACTAAAATATTTCTGTTACTTGGTTGGTATCCATTCCTGTGAAGGCTGTCTCAGTTAATCGTCTTTCGCATATGAATGTCAAACCTGACGGAGACTAAACCCATGAAACAGTCAGATTTTACTCTTGAGAACTGCTCGACAATCACAAGTTTGAGCTCAGTTTACATCCCTTGTTACTCATAGCATATGTGTAGAAGAAGAAAAGAAACAGTGAGTCACTGATTATAAAAATGTAATTTTTGACAGGAGGCTTCTGGGTTTTGTCTTAGTAGTATAGTCTTTCTGACCTGAGTTTTTCAGCCTTCTTCCTGTGGGTCTAGAGCAGTCTTTAATCTAAAGTAACTTTGACTCACCACTAAGGGAATACCCTTCTGAAGGCCTCACTCAGCACCTGGTACGTTTCCATGGGGCTAGTGGGAAGACAAACCAGTGTCATCCCTGAGTGAACTCTGAAGATTGTCCCACCTATACCTTTCTGATGGTTCTGCTCCAGATGGTGGTATTTTTCTCATACACATATACAGATTATAGCAAAGACTTGAGAGGAAGCATCTCTGAGGCTCTCTCTTTGTATAACTTCCTCCTCTTTGATATTTAGCCTTGAAGATTCAGCCTTAGCCTCCCTGAACGCTCAGCTAAGTTTTATTTTTTCATTTAATTTTTTTTAAGATTTTTTTTTTTTTTTTTAATACAAACACTGGGTACAGTCAAAAGTGCAGGAGGGTGAGAGAATTCACCAGAGCCAGAGCTGGGAGCAGAACAGGCAGACTGACGAAGTACACTGCTGAGGGGAGCAGCAGGCGTGGCAGGAGAGGTCTGCATGCCATATGGGACCCTCACCGGTGGCTGGGAATCCAACCGGCGCTGCAGAGGCTGCGGGCAGCTTCACAGCCCAGCGCTCAACTGCTGTGCCACCTGGGAGACCCTCAGCTAAGTTTTAATTTAACAACTTGCCAGGCTTCATTGGGACTCCCCTCTGTGATGTGGTTCGAAAACTTTCTCGGTACCAAGTCAGGATAACCATCAGGCTCCCCTTTTTTGCTGAAACCAGTGTTCCAAGCTGACAGTTACTCAATGGTTGATAATCATTGTTTATTTTTGTCAGGTTTTCTAATCATGTGAGGGTAGATCTTTTTTTTTTAAAGATTTATTTATTTATTTATACAAGCGCTGGGTACAGTCAGAAGCGCGGGAGGATGAGAGAATTCACCAGAGCCAGAGCGGGGAGCAGAGCAGGCAGAAGGACCGAAGTACACTGCTGAGGGGAGCAGCAGGCTGCAGGAGAGATCTGCGCGCCATGCGGAAGCCTTCTCCAGTGGCTGGGGAGCAGCCGGGGATCGAACTGGCACTGCAGAGGCTGTGGGCAGCTTTGCAACCCAGCGCTCAACCGCTGTGCCACCAGGGAGGCCCAGGTTTAAGGTAGTTTAAACGAAAGACATATAACGAGACAACATCATCAAAGTAGCAAACACTGAGAAGCAGCTAGTGTTCAAATCATATGGGGAGCAGCTCTGAGTTTTGGACATCTGTGTCGTTGCTGACAGCGGGGGCAGCTGGCGGGAGTGACGCTGAGGCAACGGCTGCTGACTGGAAGAAGTGTGACTTGATTGCAAAGATATTGGCCTCTTGTCCGCAGCAGTCTCTCTCACCAGAGAGTTACTACCAGGATATCTGCCCACAGGTAAATCATTTTGTTTCTTTTGACTGTTTTAGGATTATCTGCTTATTTGTAGAAAGAAGACTTTTAATGTGCTCTAATCTTGAGACCTTTCCTCTCTGTGGCTTGGCAGCGGCCTCCTTCATTGACATCCTGGGCAGCTGCCTTATAGACTCCTTTAACTCATGCAGCAGCTGGAGTTTCAGCCGAAACTTCAGAATCTCATTTCTGAGCTGAGAATTTTCAGACTCCCAAAATGCCTGCTCAGTCATAAGTCTTTTTATTTGTCGAGTAAGCTTCATTCAATTTTCTTCACCCAGTTTTCAGAAATAGTTCTCTTTTTACTCCTGCTTACCTCTTAAAGGACACTTGTGAGTTTCTAGCACAAATGAGAAGCTTCAGATCCTCTTCAGACAGAGTATCCAGGAGATGTGTGCCTCATGCTTCTCTCTTTCCTTCTCCTTCCAAGGAGCCAACCTCTGCGTGCTCCTCTTTAAAGTAATCAGGCAGATGGATGGTCTTCAGGATGACATCCACCACAGAATGTATTTGGCTCACTTTGTCACTCGGCATCTGCTCCATCTGTGTGTGCGAGCTCTCCGACATGTCTCCTTGCTCCTGCATTCCCACACTCTGCCTCCATCCATCTCTTTCTCGGGACAGCAATTCTAGACCTTTCTGAAGACAGTTATTTTCACCCACACCATCCATTAATTTCTTCTGAAGGGGTCATGCTTGGTCCTGAGATGTTTTTACATCATGTTTTTCACACCAGTCACTCAGGAGAGGTGGGCTACTACTGCCTCTCCAAGGGACTGCATCTGACCCTGGAGGCAGGCCTTCAAGGGGTACTCCCTTTTCTGTCCTTTGTCAAGGACATTTCCCATGTCTACAAGTGACAATCTGGGATTTGATTAAGCGCCACCAAGCACAGGGCTTGTAACATGGGAGGCCTGGCCTCCACCACAGGCAAACTCCAGACTTTGCAGCTTTGCCAGCTTGTGTCTTTGCTGCAGTCTCCTCCTCAGTTTTTTCATGGGCTTCAACTAGGTCTGACATCTTTGGACTTTTCTCCTTTTCTTATCTCAGTCTCCTCTTTACTATAGAAGCCACCAGGGCGGCCCAGAGCAGGAGCTCCCCGGGGAAACCCAGGACTTATCTCAAGGCTTCCAACATGGCTGCAAAGCAACCCATAGCTTCTCCATGATTTGCCAGGAAGACATGGGGATGCAGGCAGCTGGCCCTCCCTGGCTCCACAGGGTCATGCAGCTCTGTGTCCTACAGAGCCATGCCTAACCACCCAGAATCCTACAGAGTGTCCCCAACACATGCATGTACCAGGCAACAGAGCTTACCATCACCTGGGTGGGGGACAGGAAGGTTCTAGAGGACCATACTCTGTGATCCCTCTGATTACTGCACACGCACCATTATATTACCTATGCAGGACAGGTAGGTACTGGTTGGGACATAGAGAAGGCTGAGTGCAACTTGGAGCACTCTCCAGGCCCCGCCCGGCTGTTCAGCAAGTCCAGAGACTCAAAGCCATGTATGGCACAGGTGTACTTAGGTGTCAGAGGGGAGGTAGAGAGGTGGATGGTACAGGTCTGAACTTGCAGACCACACCATGATGCTCCAACTTCATTCTGTGAGAATCAGGGCGTCCCAGCTGGTAGGATTCAGAAATGCCAAGTTCACGACCACCTTGAAGTTGAGTTAGATGGATCACCAACCTGCTTGAGCACCTGGTTCTTCAATCCCAGCTTCCCTGCTCCCCTTCAATGCTCTCTCTTCTCTCCTTGTCATTTTCATTTTTGATCTTTATTTTCCAGACATTCTACATGGGTATGTATTTTATAAATTTGATAGAATTTTTTAAGAAACAGTAGCCTCTTCAGTTCTCACACCTATTGATATACTGGGTTGTTAAAAATAAATAAATAACACTCTAGTTCTGTTGAATTAGTGTCATTACAGTGGGTTTATTCTTCGACTTTAAGAAATCAGTGCTTGGGCCTCCCTGGTGGTGCAAGGGATTAAGACACAGCCTATGAAGCTATCCTCAGTCACTTCAGCACGAGTTCGATCTCCGGCCAGAGAGATACCCACAAGGCGCAGCAGACCTCTCCTGCCTCGCCCACTGCTCCCCTTAGCAGTATATTTCAGTAGACCCTCCTGTTCTGTTCCCCACTCTGTCTCTGGTGAATCCTCTCACCCCCTGCGCCTCTGGCCTATACCCCAGTTCTTGTGTGCATAAATAATTAAATCTTAAAAAAAAAAGAAATTAGTGCTTTCTCTTCTTAGTTAATGTAATTCACCTTGTGAAGAACCTAGTGTTTAACTCATACAATTTTTTTTTTAGATTCTGGATTTATTTCACTTTCAAGATAAATTGACAGCGCGGCAATTTCAGAGAGTTGCCACCACTACCTTTATAACTATGTCAAGAGAACACCCACAGTTGGCAGCAAAGTATTTGCTTCAACCCATCTTAGCGCCTCTTCATCGGTGCTTAAACACAGCAGGTAAGACAGGCTGTGTGGTGCCCTGGGTGTCCCTCTGAAGGACCTTCTAGGTTTCAGATGTAACTGAGTTAAGTCTGTGGTATTTTAATACCCTCCACTTTTTATTTTGAAAAATTCACTTCATAAACTTTCCAATCTTCAATTATATTGAAGATTATATTGAACCCCTATACACTTAGAGATTGATCAGCTTAACATCTTGGCCACATTAACTTTTCCACTCTCTCTTTCTATATGCAAACATATTTTCCTGGAAACATTGGAGAATTATTTATAGACATCACCTAATGTGTAGACCATATTCAGATTTCTTTCATTTCCCCAAGAATTGAAACTGTTAGTTAAAAATCCAGAATCCAGCCAAGAATAATGCACTACATTCACTTGTTATAAATTTTTTTTTTTTTTTAGTTTCCTTTAACATAGAATAGTTCCCTAGTTGAATTTGTCTTTTACTCTTTGTTGAAGAGTCCATGTTGCAGTCTAGAGCGTTCTTATTGGAAAGCCTAGATTCATTCCAATTGTGCATCAGTTATTTTTATCCTGTACCTTGCCCATTCATTTAAGGAATTAGTTATTGAACATCTCCACACAGTCTTCATGAACTAGAATGCCAGCTACATGTCTTTCTTAGTGATACATAAAATAACAATGCATATTGATAATCAGTGGCATCATAGGTTCCATAAAATAAATTTAATGTTGCTGTATTATACAGTTGTAACCATGTAAATTTTTAGAAGAATTTTTAATTTTAGCAGCTAATTAATGAGCTATGTTTTTGGTAAAACTTTCTTCCTTTGGCCTAGTTTCTTCTATTCATTGACGAGCTGAGTATGGTTAATGTGGTTTTTCTCTAGAGATTCCGGAGAGTGACGTGGCACCAGGGACCATTTTGGTGACAGAAGAAGAACTTAGTAGATGTGTTGAGGATGTTTTTAAGGTTGGTACTTCAGTCACTAATATTTTGAGCTAATATTTGTACTCGGTCTCAAAGTAATTTTGACTTTTTAATAAGTACTTCAAGAATTGGCGTGATTGGTTTTACATTCTAAACTGTCAAAATCTTTTTACTTTGAAAACTAGAAATAATAATCTGTGAGTAAAACTGATACTTTAAAACTATCAACTAACATTCATCATTTACTTTGAATGTTAAGCAGTTTAGATTCTCTACTGGCACATGTCAATGATAAAAATGTGTCTTTTGAAGAAATTGACAGAGGCATTTGCAATGCTCGAGGCTTCCTGGATGATATGATAATATTGAATCTACTTTATAAGTTTTTTTTTTAAAGATTTATTTATTCATGCATACAAGAACCGGGATACAGGCCAGATGTGCGGGAGGGTGAGTGGATTCACCAGAGACAGACTGGGGAGCAGAACAGGCAGATGGACCAAAATACACTGCTGAGGGAGACAGGAGAGGTCTGCCGTGCTATGTGGGATTCTCGCCCGGCCAGTTGGGATCGAACTGGTGCTGCAGAGGCTGCGGATAGCTTCACGGCACTGCGCTCAACCCACTGTGCCACCAGGGAGGCCCTACTTTATAAGTTTTGATAATAATCACCATCATTAAGAAGTCTCAATAAATGAATACTACAAATGACTAACTAAATACATACTGAAAATGAAAAAATATATATAAATTGTATGTTCTCTGTGATTACAATCTTATATATGAAATATATATATTTTTAGGCAAAAAATAAAGTCCATTGTATTAGGACCAGATGGAGTTGGGATAAATGTTCTTTAAAGTTTACTTTAATACATTTAGAATTATATTTTACTATTAGAAATGTTCACAGTAGTAAACAACTTTCAAAATTTTATTTCATATAAAAAGGTTCAGCCACTTTGGAAAACAGTTTAGCACTTCCTCAAAACGTTAAACATAGGGTCATTGTGTGACCCAGCAATTCCACTCTGAGGTATCTACCCAAGTGAAATGAAAATGTATTCACATAAAAACTCATGCACAAATGTTCATAGCAGCACTATTCATAATAGCCAAAATGTGGAAACAGCCCGCATGTCTGTCAACTGATGAATGAAGAAACAAATGTGATTTACCCATATAATGGAATAATTTTCAGCCATAAAAAGGAATGAAGTATGGGCTCATGCCACAACACAAATCAACATTTAAAAGTTTTAATTTTTTAAACTTTAAAGAAGTCAGACACAAAAGAATACAGTATTGCAAGATTCCATTTTTATGAAATGATCACAGTGGGCAAATTCCACAGATGGAAAGTAAATTAGTGGTTGCTAGAGACAGGGGTGGGAATTGGGCGTGGCTGCTAATGGATGTGGGTTTTCTTTTTTTCTGAGGTAAGGAAAATGTTCTGGAATTAGATTGTGGTGATGGATATACAACCTTGTGAATATACTAAAGACCACTGAATTGTCCATTTTGGGAATGAATTTTATGGCATGTGACTTACATCTCAGTCATCAAAAAATTATATTCCACATCTCATTTCTTTCTTTGGGTGGTAAATTAAACATTTTTTGAGTAAATATGTAAATTTTAGTTTATCACAGCAAAAATAATTTTTAGGCTCTGAAAAACTTGTTACCAGAGGGCATGGGCAGACGGACTGAAAAACACTGCTGAGGGGAGTAGCGGGCGGCAGGAGAGATCTGCGCACCATTTGGGACCCTCGCCAGTGGCCGGGGATCGAACCCGTGCTGCAGAGGCTGCAGGCAGCTTCACAGCCCAGCGCTCAACTGCTGCACCACCAGGGGAGGCCCACAGCAGCTAGTTTCTTATTATTGCTAGTGAGGTTGATCTTTTTGTGTTTTGTTGAGGTTTGAACCTTATACCTAAAATATACATAGTATAATAAATTAATGTTACTTCAATGAACATAATTAAAATAAATTTAAAACATTTAAATGGTTATGTCAGAAATGCTTGAAAGTGCCGTCAGGGGTAGGACTAATTGTGACTAACCTTTGGTACAAACACCTCATAGTATTCCTTATTCCTTGGCAGTCAACAAATTGCTTTTGGACGACAAAGAAAGCAAAATAATTTATGTAGAGTGAATTAGTCTGTAAGAAACAGAGGGATTCAGAAATAGTGAGTCCTGCCATTTCTACTATTCTTGCCCCAGAAGAAGGGGAGGGGAATTTAAAACATCCTGGAGAGGCAAGCAAAACATTAGTTTGCTGTAGACACTTGATTATGCATAGGGATTGGGTTTGTCGTGAAAGCAGGAAGGGGTACACAGGGTAATTATTCTCTTTATGAGATTTTGGCAGCTCAGCTGCAGTGGGAAAACAGAGGAAATGTGTACGTTGGAGGAAAATGGTAAACACTGTGTAAAATTTAGCAACAAAGGAAGTGTTGTCTTTATTATCTTTCTGCTAATACTAAATTATAGAGTACAGCTCAAAGGCAGGAAATAAGGAAAACATCTGGGATGGTTGAATTGATCCAGCAACTCACTGGGTAGCAAGAGGGTGTTTAATTTTAGAGAGGCATTTGGGAACATGTCAAGCTCTGATTTCTCTCTTCTTTTTTTACAGATTTATTGAGATATAATTCATATAACACACAGTTGACACATGTGAAGTGTTCAATGTTTTTGATATATTCACAGGATCATGCAGCCATTACCACAACCTAGTTTTAGGATATTTTGTCCTTCCTAGAAAGACCCCACACCCATTAGCTGTTACTCTCCATTCCTCCCCATCCCATTTTACTGCCATCCTTAGGCAACCTGTAATATACTTTCTGTATCTATAGGTTTGCCTATTCTGGATATTTCATGTAAGTGGAATCGTATAATAGATGGTCTTTTGTAGTGGCTTTTTGCTTAGTGTGATGTTTTTAAAGATTCATTCATATCATAGCAGGAAGCTGTACTTCATTCCTATTAATGCCAGATAGCATTCCATTAGTATTCCAGTATGTGTACATAATTGAAATTTGTGAATAATGCTGAATAGACAGTTGTGTACTGGTTATTGTGTGTACATATGTTTTCTTATTTTATTATTTTTTTAATGTTTTTTAAAATTTTTTTTAAAGATTTATCTATCTATCTATCTATCTATCTATCTATCTATCTATCTATCTATCTATCTATCTATTTATTTATTTATATAAGCACTGGGTACAGTCAGAAGCCCGGGAGGGTGAGAGAATTCACCAGAGCCAGAGCGGGGAGCAGAGCAGGCAGAAGGACCGAAGTACACTGCTGAGGGGAGCAGCGGGTGGCAGGAGAGGTCTGCGCACCATGTGGGACCCTCCTCTGGTGGCCGGGGAGCAGCCGGGGATTGAACTGGCGCCACAAAGGCTGCGGGCAGCTTTGCAACCCAGCGCTCAACCCCTGCGCCACCGGGGAGTCCCTATTGTGTGTACATATGTTTTCAACCCCCCTTGGGTATATACCTAGGAGTGAAATTGCTGGATCATATGGTATCTCTGTTTAAACTTTTGAGGGACATTGCTCGCTTCGGCAGCACATATACTAAAATTGGAACGATACAGAGAAGGTTAGCATGGCCCCTGTGCAAGGATGACATGCAAATTCGTGAAGTGTTCCCATATTTAAAAAAAAAAACTTTTGGGGAACTACCAGATTGTTTCCCAAAGTGGCTATACCATCCTACATTCCTGCCAGCAATCTATGAAAATTTGAATTTATCCACATTCTTGTCAACACTTATTAGTATCCCTTTTTAAAAATTATAACCCTCCCAGTGGGAGTAAAGTAGTATTTCATTGTGGTTTTGATTTTCACTTCCTTAACTGGCTGTCATGTGAACAGCCTGTGATGTACTTATTGGCCATTTGCATGTCTTCTATAGAGAAATGTCTGCTAAGATCCGGCGCCCTTTAAAGAATTAGATTGTCTTTTTATCCTTAGTGGGTTGAATGGTGGGCCTTATCCTTCCCAACAGCTCCCTCCAAATCCTTATCAATGTGCTCTGTCTCCACACTTTTGTATACTCCTTCTGCATGCTCTTTCTAAATAAGGATTTTTTTTAATAGTCCTATTCTCATCTTAGTCTGTTGTTTTACTTTGGAGTTTTAAGTCTATTTTATCTTGGTGCCTCACTTGACATTTCCAGTTTGACTTCCTGTGTCACCTGTATTGTGACAGCTGCCCATCTGGCTGCCATCTCAACAGCTAAATGCAGAGCCCTGAGTTCCTCAGAGCCAGTTTCTTCTTTATCCTCATCCATTATCAGATTGGTAATCTGATTTTCAAGACCATAGCAGAACTAGAAGTAACAAATTAGAAGTTAGTTATACTAAGTCACACTGACAAGTGAATGACAGCAGAGAAAAGCAAGAAAGGAGACAGAAAAAATACCTAAAAAGAGCATAGTTTGAAAAGCACAGCATGTTGAGGCTGTTATGTTCAGTATACTTTATTTAGGAAGGCATAGAATCCATTTTGGAATGATATAAAAGACTTAAAATAAAAAAGCATTTTGGCAGTTAAAGGCATAAACCCTCCATCCTCTGAATGAAAACTTTGTGGCTGGAACAGTTGCTGGGAAAGGCCTTTCTGCCCTTCCCTCTGTCACAGCCAGCAGCCAGCGGAGTGGTGTGCCCAGCTGGGCCAAGTGGGGTGTTCGCCATACTGTGGGTTCGATAGAGAGGCTAATCCTGTGAAACTGAAAACTTGGTGTCGCCACTTGTACTTCATCTGCATAAATAATGCTTGCCATTTCTCTGTGTGTGCCTTACACCTGGCATTCATCTCAGCCATTTTCAGTCCAGTGACTTCCCACACTGTCTCCATGAGGAGGCCCTTAGAGGCCTGACCCTTAGAGTGCTTCAGTTCTTTTGTCTTCCCAGGTATGAAAGGGAGACATAGTTTTTCTTTGTCCAGAGCAGGGAAGAGAGACCTAGAGGGCATGGACATTGGTTCTGGGGAGGATAGGGTAAGAGAATTTCAGTTCTTTCTA